CCAAATTCAGATGGCAGCCTTCAATCTCTTTTTACCAAACAGATCAGTTAAATCTGGTTTTAATCAAGACACACCTGCCAAATATGAACACTCCCTAAAAGCCAATAGAGTCCAAGAGCTGCTGATTTGGACCTTGTTGACTTTAATAGGGTATATGCACAGCTAGTGTTTTTCAGCTAATGATGAACTTCCGCTGAAAGCTTAATGTGACTATTTTCAATTTCATAAGATTCCTTTTCCAGCATCAATGTTGTAATGTAGCTAAAACACATTCAGTTAAATAGACTTAAGCATTCATTTAGTTGTACAATGTAAAATGTGATGGAAGACGTCAGGATCGCCGTCAGGATCAGCAGGCAAGCGCAAAAACTCCATTGAAAATACTGGGGTAAAACAAACTGTTGTATTTTAAAGACATGGTGGGGAAAATGGAATTTAATGCAGTGCTTCTTGTTCGGTCTGAGACCCACTTCATATCGTATATCTATCAGGCAGTGAAGATCACTGATTTTTAAAGAAATCAGACCCTAAACGTGGTAATTTTACAATGGAAAGACATTCTACCGGAAGCGCTGAGGCTGGCTGGCTGAAATTAAAAGTCTGCGTGCATGTAACCCCAAATAAGTTCTGCTAAAGATACAAAATTATAAAGGCTTTTTTAGTGAACTATCCCTTGATGCTTATTGTCGCTTTTTATAAGGGTCCAAAACATGAAAGAGTTCTGAGAAGAATTGTGAGAAAGATCATGAGAACTGTAGTATAGACTAAAGAGTGTAGGCCTATCTACTAAGCGCTATGCATATTTCTCATTGAAAAAAAAAAAACTTGTGAGATGTACAGATGTCAAGACACGGGAAACATGTAGCAACAGCTTCAGTCACAGATTTGACTTTTGGATGTGATGTCAAACCACTTCCACAACAGCGCAGCACTATGATGTCAGCAAAGGCTCAAGCAGGAGCATTCAGACTGATTTAGTTTCCCATGTTGCATTGCATGCTACAACATAAACGGCTGCAGATCCAAAGGATTTCAAGAGTTTTTTTTTCTTTGATATAGTTGGCCATATAAACAAAAGCTTCAAGAGGGCTTTTTTTGCCCCACACACCTTTACTGTAACGTGTAGGTCTGCTAAGCAGATGCTGAAACACAGCAGCAGGCTAGAAACAGGAAAGGAAGACATTCTGCAGAGCGTGCAGCCTTTCTACATCCTGCCCCGCTACGAGTACGGCCACATGCAAAAAGCTGTGCCTCACGGGTAACAAACAGCAAAAGGCCTTTTTGCGCACCAAACAACGGACCACTGCACATAACATGCATTTTAGCATGCATATCTGTCTCAAGAGTCCCTAATACCATCATTAAAAAGGCTGTGTTTTTTGTGTGCTTCATCAATAATGAATAAGACACGCATGGAGGCAGCTCTCTGAATAGAGGTTTCAACGGTTTGATGCAAGTTTCCAGCAACTTCTTTCTTCGGATGAGGGATGGTAAATTATGCATGCTCACCGGGACCATTATATGGCACGAATCTAGGCCACTAACCAAAACACTCAGCCTCCGGATAACAACACACACTTACAGGAGATTTTACAGACACTCAAAGCTCACAAATTCAAATGTAAATTTCTATGCACTATAAACAGATCCTACGGTTTATTAGCGTCCTGTGTTATCTGTTGTACTTAGAAGTAGTGAAAATCTAGGTAAATATACTCAATTTAAAGTTATTTCAATCCTGCATGACTTTTTTTTCTGTGCAAGCCAAAATATATAGTTTGAAAATGTAAGTTTACTATTTACAATCTCATTTTTTTACAAAAGAATAAATTTTGCAAACTCTCCGCGTGGCTCTTTTTAAGCATGAATTTTGACTCAAGATGTTGTGTAATCTCAAAAGATGCAAACATATTACACTTGTCTGTTTTGTTGGTAAAATATAAATTTATAACATGCATATAATTAAAACAGACCACATTTATGATGCTTTTAGAGTGCTTCTCACCATTTATAGCCACTGCTCAGCAGGACCAGGACATTGTTTGAATTAGATTTGTGTTTTGCAAAACAACTAAAGTCATGCAAGTTTAGAAGTAAATATTTACCAAACGTGCCTTTTGTTTAGCAATAGCTTAAAACTAAACTAAAAACTCTGCCTTAAAAAAACAAACAGAGCTTCGACAAGGAAGACAGCATTCTGAAGTCCAAAAATGCTATCTAGGTAGCCAGTTTATAAGGTTTAGATATGTGTCAATGCCATGCTGTATGTTATTGAGGGTTGTTGACATGTGTAAACAATCCATTTTTTGCATTTCAACTCAACTGAATGCACGAATGTTGGGTCAAAATAACAAACAGCTACATGTCAAACACTGGGTGGCAAAGGTTGCACTAATAAATCCCTGTAAGTACAGTCACACCCTGGCAAAACAACAAAACCGTACCCTCTGGCAAACTTCTTATCAACTGTAAAGGATTCGTGTGAAAGGCCGGACAGAAAGTACAGTCGAATTCGCGCTTCGTGCAACTTCGTTCGGGTTCGGCTTTTCGAGTTCGGCGGTACACATCCAGAGGCCTGGGACATCCGCGGCTGATAGTAGCTCGCCCATCCCGGCCCGGAATCAGTTGTGTCGGCACCGCGTCCAGCTCCCTCCGCCTTCTGCCGTGTTTACCGTGAATAAACCGCGACTAATACACTCCAATCTAAGAGATCAGGAGGAGGAGGAGGGGAAGAGGAGGAGGAAGAATCGCTGGCTGTGTCTCACTCTTACCTCTCTTATCCAGATCGTAGCCGACTACAACGAAGTAATCGGCGAGCCTCGCCATCTTTTCGGGATCACGGCGTCAGGCCTCGGGGATGACTGTCTTTCCACAAGTAGACGATATCCTTATTACATTGTGAAGAAAGCGGCGTAAGCAGCATCCCTACAGCACCAGCCCGCCGCCATACTGTCGCTGTGAGTGAGCCGTGCCCTGACAGCATTCTGCGCATGCGCACTGAGCTCAACGACGACAGGGAGGGGCGCGCGGCCGGGGAATGTTGCGTGGTCATTCATTACAGCGCGTGCACGAAGATATGCTGTAAAAAATAAAAATACCCTAAAAAATGCGTCAATAAAACATATCCATTCGTTACATTTAAGTAACTTTACATAGAGACTCAATAGTTATGCAATAATGCAATTAAAAAATATAAATTAAAATTGAAATATAAATTAAACTGCTTACAATTAAAAAAACAAATTGAATAAATACATTAATTTTTTCTACAATATATCATAACCAACAATTAAAACATATGCATGAAGGGATACAAAAATAATACACAAATTCTTCTGAAAAAGCTCTTCACACACATTTATT